ACAGGCAGGCAGGTCAGGGGAGGGGCATGGGAGTCCTGGGATGGGGCCAGGGCCCCCCACCCCAGGGAGGGCAGTTCCTCATGTGGCCCCTCAGACACCCCCTGGCCTGTGTCCCTCTGTGCTGGGGACCACCTGTGCCCCCGTCCCATGGCTGCAGAGGTGTGGGAGACTACACCCCATGTGACAGATGGGTGCAGATGCAGGGGGCTGACTGCTTGCCCCAAGTCCCAGCACCTGTCTCCCCAGCACATCCAGGACCACATGGGACACCCCTTGGCGGCCTTCACCCTTTGAAACACCCCAGGGACTGTTCATGGGCGTCTACAGCTCTGCCTTGTTCTGGTCACCGCCTCAGGCCCCCATGCATGCCAACAGCATGGTGGATGCCTCCTCAGACGGGGTGCCCGGCCCCTGCTGAGAATCCTGGCCACACCGAGGGTGCCGTCCCCTAAGGCCCTCTCCTGCCCTGGCTCAGATGCTCCAGTATGGAAGCAGTGAGGGGAGCCCAAGCGGGGGGTGGGGCAGGAAGAACAGGCCACCAGAGGCCTAGGCCACCCGAGAGGTCCGTGTCCTGGGCGGACAGGCCCCCCTCCCCAGGCCACAAGACCTCGAAGGTCACCTAGCAGGAGATGCTTCCTTTCATCCTGAGGAGGGCCCCATGGGGGGCAGGACCGAGACCCCCAGAGTAGGCGGGGCCCCAGTCCTCGCACACTGAGCCTTGGTCTGCCTGCAGCCCGGGCTGGGCCAGAGCTGCTGCCCACCACTGCCTGTCCGGACCTGGTCATCCTCAAAGCACCGGTGGGCGGCGGCTTGGGGTCCATGGAGGGGCCTTGGGAACCGCTGTGTCCCAGCCTGTGCTGCCGTCCTCGGGCTGTAACCAGCCTGTGTGCTGCCCGCCCCTCCCCGTACAGGGCTCGAGTACCAGCGGCCGAAGCGGCAGGCTTCCAGCGACGACATCGAGGTGATCTCCATGGGGACGCCCCTGCAGCAGGAGAGCCCGGAGCTGTACCGCAAGGGCACCACCCCCTCGGACCTGACCCCCGATGACAGCCCCCTGCAGAGCTTCCCTGCGCCCCTCGGC